TATATATATATATATATATACATACATATATGTATATACATATATGTATATACATATATATATAGGTACATATATACATACATATACACACATACATATATATTATATACGTGTATATATATATTATATATATAATGTATATGTATATAATGTATTATTGGGGACACAACAGTTTCAGAATAAGTGAGTGCACATAACATTGATTTTGCTTTGGAATTTTTAAAATTTAGTGGCAAAACGGTGCCCTAGCTGGCCTACTGGAACCGCCCCTGGTACCAGTGTTTAAACAGGAGTGGCGCCATGAACTCCCACAAGAGGTTCACACCCCCCGCCGAAGCCTAGGGCCCCCCACCCTAGTCGGGGAAAATTTGATTTGTTGAGGAATTTTGTATTAAAAATAATGACACTTTGTGGTAACTATGGGATTCTTTATCTTGTCTGTACAATCCCCCTGTCGGGGAACTGGTGAAACCACTGCAACCCATACGATCGCAATAGATAGAGGCCTACTGTACAACTTCGCACTATACGGCAGTTTTTAATCCCATATATAGTTTGACAGGCTAGTAGGCATGCTCAAATTGTACTTTCGGCGCTCGATTTTCATTTTTCCCCTTGGACTCTAAAAAAGTTAAGTACTATTCCCATTTTCAAATCTCATATAAATTTCATTTAATTCCGTTGCCAAACTCTCCTCGTCATACCCCTGGTAACAGTAGACTACAGCCACTTTTCTTGTTTGTGCCAATAATATGGACTTAATACTCAACATAGGCCACCCTTCTATCATATTCCTATTGATAACTTCAATTCTCTGTCTTAATTTAATTTTCCCCTTCTTGATACAGGACAAGTTCTTTTTTTGCTTCTTTAACATATTTTTGTTCATTATTTTTAAAAGTTAACATCTTTTTCTTAATGGCGATCTCACTTGTGATCACGGCTTATCATATGATTTTACTTTCCTTGTAATACCATGTAATACAGTAATGTAGTCAAGTCTTGGCAAATGCAACATATGACGATACTAATAATTCAATATTATTATCTTTTATTATCACCAGTGGAGGTAGGGGGCCTACCTTACTTTCTTGTAAATCACTGTTCCTGTGAGTTCATCCAATCGGTTGCCTCTAAGCAGCGTTTTAATTCTTCTAAATTTTGATATGACAACATTTTGATACGTTAATATTCCGTTTATTTCACCCTTTTAATTGTTTGCCTATACAGAGGAGCAAGTAACGTCATGTTCTGAGTTGTTACCTGTTTCCGATAAGTTAATAAATATTAATTGCATACGCTGAATTGATCAAAGAGATTTGAACAGTTAATATAATATCATGCAGACTCCAAAAAGACTAAGAGAAGCCATGATTCAATATTTCGTTAATATTCGAACATCATCAGGAATGATCAGGGGCCGGAACAGATAATCACAAAAGCATACACCGATCACCCATTCGCGTTTGTAAGCTCTGGTTGGTTCATTGTTCCCGCCGCTTCTATATCTCTCTTTCTCTTTGAGAAGAAGGTACGCTACACGATGACGTGTAGATAGCCATTTTGGAAAGTCGTTTGTATATTGAGTTGTTGGTTACATAAGGTGAGTGTGGATTATTCGTATATAACGATGTCCTAATCCATGAAAAGTTGTTAATATACTTTGTTTATACATATTGCACAGTAATTGCGTAATATGAATAACGTCAGAATGGGATGGAGCTTATATCGGTGCAATAACATATCCGACTAGCCTAGATGTCGTTGACCATGCGTGGGCTGATTAATCTGTCCGAGTTCGTTTTGATGTCGGGTTGTAGTAAGCGTGCTTGAAAGAAAGGAAGTGATCCAATTCTGACTATTGGAACTGGCAACTAACTTGTGCCTTGAGTTTTCATAGCTGAGCCTGCTTTCAGTAGGCCTAGCATTGGGACTTACATATTTTTAGATCTGATTTTATTAATTTGTTTCTCTTTATGAAAATGTTATTTTTAATGAACAAATATGAAATCTTGCATAATAATAATATTATTTTACCTTTTTCTCTACAAAATACTACTACAATTCAGCATTTTGTTGCAAATGTATTTTTAGTGAAGGAACTTTTTTTGAATAAAGTTTAGTGATATATATATATATACACTGTACTGGCAGTGGCTATATATGCACAGCAGTTATCTCCAAGATACCAATAAACCCCAATAAACCTGTAGTTGTACATTTTTTACAACAGCTGTGTATAGAGTACCACAGTCGTGTCGTCACGACGCCAGGTGGCGCTCTCTGTTGTCAACATACGTTGATTACCGTTCATTACGCCTGAATGACTTCATAGGCTTTGTGGAATAGGTATTTTAAAATCTAATATTTTACCATCAAAATGTACTAAAAACACAAAAGCTCACATTATATTAGTTATTGAACACACGTTCAATCGTCAATTAAAATTTACAAAGAAAAAGTAGGATAAAACATCTTAATAATTACATTAGAAATTGGGATCAATGGTGTGTCAGTGAAGCATTCCTGGTTGTACTGATTCATAAAAGTTAAAGTAATGTCATTTCCTTTGTTGCTTGCCCATGTCCAGATGACAGGTCTTCAATTGTTACATCGAAATTGTAATTGGGTCTTTGGATTTAGACGGATGTCTAGGAATAGATATTTGCATGGGGTATATCATTCATTCTAATTTGGACTAGGCATCAGCAACGAATAGCAAATATAATTTTAAAATATATAGGATTTATAAATAAATTAAAGCATATCTTTCCATGTCATATTTTAGTTACCTTATACAACTCATTCATATTACCTCAACTGCTGTATTGCAACATTATTTGGGCAGCAGATTACCCCGCAAATTTACAAAAAATACTTCAGCTACAAAAAAAGGTGGTTCGTATAATAAGTTTAGTTCCAAATAGAACTACATCTGAACCTCTCTTTAAGAAGCTAAAAATTCTCAAAATTATTGATCTTCATATAATTCAAGTTTCTTTATTCATGTTTTAATATGTAAACAATTTATTACCAATTTCTATTGCAATGTTTTTTCAACTCGTTTGATTGCTCACACCTACAGTACAGTATAGCATAAAGACATCCTCCAAAATTATGCATTCCTTTTGTACTATTTCTGGTCCTACTCAATGGAATAATTTCGATGTAACCACCTGTAATTGTAAAACTCTTTCAACTTTTAAGACTCATATGAAAAATATTTGTTTATCTAATTACTACTCGGATATCTAAAAAATAAACTTTACTATTTTGGCGCAATGTATTTTTATTATATTATGTATTATTAGCGTTCATTTATGTATGTATATTTATTATAATTTATTGTTATATTATTAATATTATTATTAATTTATTATTATTATTATTATTATTCGTCTGTAGTAGCAAATACATCTTAAGAATACCACAATAATTTTCAACCTCAATACCATATAGTCAAAGCCTAATGAATTTTATTATCAAAACTCGGTATACAGTACTATAAAACAGACATGTTTTGGCAAATCCTTCGCCATCTTCAGTGAAACGATTGCTAACATGCACTTATTTCTGACCGTTATAAATACCTCCTTCTTTCTTTTGTATTGTCTCGCTTCCATAGAAAATATGATATTGAACCAAATCTTCTTCCTGTTGTTAATAACCGTCATCTGTCTGATTTTAGATTTAAGATCCAATTTGCTAGAACCAATTGTTATAAATTTACTGTTTTTAATTATTTTCCTTATTTATGGAATGACCTACCTCCAAATATTAGGGAATGTGCAATTAATTCCACAAAATTTAAATATGTACTTAAGCAATATTTTTTTAAATTAAATCATATTAAATTAATTAAATTATATTTTTACCTTAATGAAATTGTAATGCTCTTTGTAATATTTTTATTAATTTATTATATTGTACATATATGAATTGTGAATTTTTCAGATTTTAATGTTTGTCTTTTTAATGTTTTGGAGAGCCTTTAGATAGTGATTAAGTTCGCTTTTAGGTAATCCTCAGGCTTTTTGTTTTCTTTGTCATTTGTTTCTCTTATCTATTGTACTGTATTGTCTTGCCTGGAAATAAATAAAATAAGATAAAATATGCAATCTACTATTTAAAGGGAGTGAACAACTGTGAAGCATTGTATTTTAAGTAAATGGGAATTGAACCATAGCTATTTGAACAGATATCATGATATTACATTTTTAGAGAATCGATTGTAAAGAAGAAAAAAAGGCATGAATAAAGATGATAACGTAATGATGAACATCAGAATAACAAAGTTAAATTAACATGTAAAAGTTGCTTGTTGAGAGAGGGCGTGTCCCATTTTATATGCAAGGCCTCCTTGATTTTTCTTTGGCTGGCTGTTGAAGCGGAACACAATACACGGAAGCAATCTTCGTTGCTTGAGGTTTTACATTGTGATGAGCTATTAAGATGTTTAAAAATGTGCGAGTTCCTGTCCGTGGTCATATTATTATTATTATTATTATATGTTGGGGTCATTATGAGACAAGTTTAATCTTCTAGTTTTGATCTCATTTAATGGTCTATTTGATTATTCAACTATTGTTTTTGTCTACAATGTTAATAATTTGTGAGGTCTCACCACAAATGAGTCTCATGGTTAGAAATTCAAAAATTGAGTTTATATTATATTTGGGTAGATCACATTATAAGCTTTCATTTGGTCTTTAAATGGTTTCTGTTTACTATAATTAAATCCAGAGGTGACGGAACTAGGGGGTGCTGTGTTATGGAGAGTAATGTGTGAACGGAAATGGTCTGCAGTCAGTTGGTTGTTACCATGCGCCAGTGATGTTGGAGTATATAGTACAGCAATATGAAACTATTACAGTATGTAGGCCTAATGAATAAATAAAGTTCGGAGTTTGTCGGGTAGTGAAATCATTATTTCACATTTTAAGTGCTCCCTAAATTCATAAGTGTAAGCTAAATTACGGTGATTAATTTAATTAGCGAAGATATGGAGACAATTATTTCGAATCCCTCTTTCCATGAGGGGATGCAAATGCTTTGTGAAAATGAGTACTCATTTTCACAAAGAAATACACACAACTGGTTAGCTAAGTATGCAAATGTTATTGTACATGAACACCTGGGAAGGAAGGTTCAATCACGTTGTTACCTAGCAACCGTCTGTACTGTATGGGGGAGGGGCTGCTGATGTACTGTGTAGCGGGGGACGATGAGGCATAAGTAAGACTATGCCTAACTAAGACAGTGGAATCATATGTGATAGAGAGTACACTTTCTGAAGAAATAAATTAAAATAAGAAAAAAAAAAAAACTAAGAATAATTCATTTGCAGAGGTACCTTGTTTAAGTATTATACAATGCTAACAATGCGGCTCTTGTAGTCCTGGCTTGGGCAAGGCATCCATGTGCAAAGCAGTGGTGTTTGTTTATCCATGAAAAAAGTACGCCATTGGGAAAGTTTGCCTTACCAGGAAAAGTGACGTATCTAGCTTATGATGTATGCATGCTAACTAATGTGAGTGTGATGTCACCAAAAAATGAATATTTTCTATTATAACCAAAATATTAATAACTACAAAGTTTCTGGGCATAAATTCCCTTAATACGAATGAAGGGTTGCACAATCTCCTTGCCATACAAATTACAGCTCCCACTGACGCCTCCGTCAAGAAATATGGGTAGCTGAAGTTTTTCTCGCAAATCTGACTATGAAACCATATCCAAATTTCACGTTCCACTTTTGACCCTGAGTTGTGCTTCGCACTCGCCGCTGAAGGCGGCGTTCCGGGAAGCCTGCAACCAGAGATGTGAGCATTTAAAGTTTAGGTGTATAAGAACCACATTTTGAGAAAATCAGCCTCAAAGATAAACTAACCTGTATAAATAATATGACTAGAATTACAGAAAATGTGCAAGAAAATTCACTTACAATCATAAAATATAAGTATCAAGTTATTCAAAAACATTTAAATCAAAATTTTGTAAAAATGTTGACTTTGGTCTGTTTTGGTGAATATCTCAATATGATTTCACCAATGATGCGTCTCATTTCATGGTGAGACCTCACATTTTATGCTTCTTTTCTTTCAATGTGAATGTAACCTTAACCATTATGAAATAAATGTTCTTGAAAGATTTTCTTGACATTAAATCAGTTGACTTTGTATTACTCAAATGGTATTTCAATGATGTTGATTTTGCAATTAAGTTTGGTTGGATTTATTCGGTATAAAAACCAAGGATACTGTAACCCATGAATGTCTAGAAGAAGACTCCAGTGGGGTCCTTCTGGTGGTGATTGGGCAGTACACCGGGAGACAATTCCCTACTCTTTCCAAAGAGTGTTCTGCATTCTTTAATGTGCACATGGACCATAAATACACACTGGACCAACAGCTTGTATATCTTATCCAAAAGACGGTGCGCTACTGTAACTTGTATTTCAGCCCTCCAGCTGAAACACAAGGAGAGGCAGCGATGGGTATTTAACAGGGGACCTAGAGATCTCCAAGGTTCAGTGCACACACAGTGGCTACCACCAGATTAGCCGATTGAGTTAAGCTGCTCTCTCGTGTGTTCTATATATAATTTTAATCCCCCATTCATTTAATTTTCTCTGCATTTTCAATAGATCTTTCAGAATGACTGAAGAAACTGTCATAGAGGAAGGCTGTGTACCCGATGAAATAATCCATGAGGAAACATATGGCCTGATAGTTGGTGCGGAATTTTCTACCTGGGCAGAATTCAAAACTGTTATGGAACAGTATGAGGCTAATGTTCATGTTAAGCTGATCTTGGCAGACACAAGAAAAGTCCATACTGCAAATGTTGCTTATCGAAGAGAAGGAGCGCCACTGTATGATGAAAAATTTAAGTATGCATATGCAAGAGTCACTTGTAAACATCATGGAAAGTATCGTAGTAAAGGATCTGGCAAAAGACCTAATCAAAAGTAAGTACAATAACATATCAGTTTATTTAGAAATGCTGTGTGTTGTTGGATAAAACAAGCCATTTTCTTGCGTATATTTATATATTTTTGTTCTTACACCATAAATTTAAGACATTTTTTAATGGAGTTAGTGGGATTGATTTGGAAAGTACATACAGTACATTTCTTAAATATGTGACAGAGAGAATTTCTAGAACTGAAAATCATTAGCATCAGGGAATCTGATTTTTACTTTTATTATATTTTTTCCCCCAGGAGCTACAAGACCAACTGTCCAATGCACTTCATACTGAGTGTAGATCGCGTCAAAGACAAGATGTTCATCCGTAGCGGCAACTTTACACATAACCACCCAACAGATGAAGGGGTTGCTAAATTGTATCCTGAGAATCGTCGTCTTAGTAAGTCAGAGAGACAGTTCAGTAAGATACTCATGGACATGAAAGTTCCAACAAAAGTATTCAGAGAAAGAGTGCGCGAGATGAGCCAAAAACCACTGACAAATAAAGATATTTATAATCTGCAAGCTCAGCTCCGCCGAGAAATGGCAGAAGAAGAGAAGACTGAGGTACAATCACTGTTGCATGAACTCCAGGATATAACAGAGAAGGATGCTGGAAGTGAGGTGGTTGTAAATGTTGATGGTAATGGACAAATACAAGTTGTATTTTTTCAAACGTCCTACATGAAAGAGACATACATTAGATTCCCAGAGGTCTGTGTAATAGGTGATACAGATGATGTAAACACCAATGGTATGATTTTATGCACTCTTATTGTTCAGGATGGTAGTGGCACTTACATTCCCTGTGCTCATTTTTTACTTGCAAAATTAGATGAGTCAACGATGAGTGCTGCCTTCCAGTTGTTCAAACAACCGTTAGATCCTTCAGTGATTGAAAAGACCAAACTGTTTATTGTAGGCAGTAATTCTTTGGACATTAAAGTCTTTGAAAGCCATTTTCCAAATGCTTCTATTAAACTTTGTGAAACACAGGTTTTGAAAACATTCAAGAATGAAACATCAAGTATGGAAAATGGCACAGCTGTTGCAAAATCTGAGAAGCAAGGGGCTCGAAGACAAAATCATTTATGGACAATACTACATGCAATGGTAATGTCTAAAACTGAAGAGGAATATTATGAACTTCTTGAAAATTTGCAAAGTCTAGCATTTGCTCAGGCTTTCAATGAAACATGGCATAAACAGCGCCACTTGTGGGTGGGAGCATGGAGAAACAAAGATCTGAATTATGGAATTAAAACAGCTGACAGTGTAGAAGCATTCCATGGGAAGGTAAAGAATGTTGTGAACGGCACAAGCACAGTGGCAGAGTGCGTCAGAGGAATCTGGAAAATTGACAATCAGGTGAAATTGGAATCTGACCACAAGAAGCTCAAAGCAATGCTTTCAGTTAAAAATCCAAATCAGGATAAAAATCCAGATTTAGAAGAACTAAATAAATTCTGTACGAGTTATGCTGTAAGCCTTACAGAAAAAGAGATCATTGCAGCTGCAGCTCTCGATGTTCAAAAAGATGTTGGTGGACAAATAATTGTCACAGGCACAGTTGGGGAATTTGCTGTTGATGAGAAGGGAAAAATGTGCTCATGCACTTTCTATACAAACTACAATCTGCCTTGTAGACACATTTTTGCTATGCGAAAATTCTTAGAGAAAGAGATTTTTGAAGAAAGTTTGTTTGAAAGTAGATGGCAGAAAGATTATCAGCATTCAGATTGCAAAATTGAATCTGTTGAAGTAAGCAGTCCAAGTGTAAGTTTGGCAGGAAAAGCAATTAAAAGAGAAAGCCAAGCTAAAAGCAGTAACACACCAGTCAAAAAACCAAAGACTGACAAACCAAACAAGAGGTCGCAGTCACTGACACGAGATGAAAAGTACACAAAGGCAACTTTATTATGCAGACAAATTGCAGGTGTTATTAGTGAAGTGCCTCAAAAGCAATTTGAAAACAAAATGAAAATCTTAACTACCCTTTGCAGTCATTGGTTGAATGGTGATGAAGTTAAACTCACTGTGAAGTCAAAAGAGCCTGATGATGTTGTTGAAGATGTTGAATAATTCGACAAAATACTCTGTCTTGAGCTAATGCACTTCAAAATTTGAGGTGCTTTTTCTCAAAATTTTCAGTCATTAACTTTCATATAAATATTAGAATAAAAAACCATTGCTACTTTGTATAGACCTTTAAAGTTGGCTGGTAATTTATTGATTTTCATAGTACTGTATGCAGTAGCAAAACTAACGTAACGTAATTGTTTACATACACCAACACTTGTATAGCGCCATTTCGTGAAGATCAAAGTGCTTTTTTTGTTTAATTTTTTACATCAGCCTATGCTTCATTGGAAATTGATATTTTGTCATTTTTAATGATCAAGTTCATTATGTATTTGTTAAAAATATTTGTAGCAGACAAATGATGATTTTTTTAATTATTATTTATATTAACAGCAAATTAAGAATTAATAAAAGCAGCATAATTAAACCAGTGATCTTTAGCAATGTGAGAAAAATATAACAAACAGTATTCTAAAGTAGGAATAGCAAATAGTGGTGTCTGTAACATTATGAATCTACTGCTGATAGGGTCTAATACAATTGCTTTTAATACATTTTCCAGAAAAACATTGTCGATCAGGATTCGACCAAGACCTTCCATTGCAATTGCATACATTTCCACAATTTATTAAAATTTTCCCCTGGAATTTTAGTACTGGTTTATTTTAAATGCTTCTTTTAATTATTTAAATATTCATGTAACACTGATTTAACCCTGGAGGTATTAAATGATTTTATGTCTTTTCACACTTTTTATCCACTTAGTGTGATATTTGTTGATAATTCTTATTTGTTTAAGCTACAAATTTGTTTGATTTTGAAGCAAATTTATATCAAATAATTTCATATTGAAGTTGTCTGAAGGCTTCCATCCGGATTATTTCATATTGATTTTACTGATTATATAAGCCTGTATTAACATAAATGTTGTGATGAGAGACAGTGGCGGTGCCAGCACTGGTCCAGGGAGTACACCCCCCCCCCCATCTTTAATTTGGGAACCCGCCATTAGGAATGAAAGCAATCATTTCTGGGGGTCTTGGACTTGTCGGAGAATGCTGGCACTGTCACTGGTTGGAGATGTAATTTATTAAGTTGTTGGTTTTTTTTTAATTTTAAGCTCGCATTAATACTAGCACTCAGTAATACTTTCTACATTTTTATATTAATACCTAAATTGAACATGCTTAAATCTTTTTCTTTGTAAAGTTAGATTCCATTGTTGATAAATAAATGACACATATTGCATTAATTTATTAAGTTGTTTGTTTTTTTAATTTTAGGCTCGCATTAATACTAGCACTCAGTAATACTTTCTACATTTTTATATTAATACTTAAATTGAACATACTCAAACCTTTTTCTTTGTAAACTTAGATTCTATTGTTGATAAATAAATGACACATATTGCAAGTTGTGTTGTGTTTCCACCACACCTTAATACTGTGTTTGTTTTTTTTTTTTTTGTCGAACACAATTAGTCAACACTGCAATTGGTTTTAGTTTCCAGTAGGAACACATTAAGGCAAGATTTTAATTTACATCTTGTTTAGTGAACTTGCCGTCTGCCAGTAATGATAATTTCGGGGAAAAAAATTATTTTTGGCCAATTAGCGCAACCGCTGCCACAAAACAATGGACATTTCAGAAAAAAATTTTTCTTTATTTTCATTACGCTGCCACTGCCTTGAAATCTCTGAAGAAAGATATGTATATTTTCTTCCTAATTACAGTATATAAATTTAAAGCATTTCACCACCACATTATTACAGTTTACATTCAAAAATAACATTTTGTATTCTCCGTCTCAATATGTTTGGTAAAACCATTTACTAAATGAGAAAACTAAATTTTATTTTTTTTTGCCCTCTGTCGATCTTTAAAAATAAGTTAGCGTAACAAGGTATAAAAAAGTCTCGCCTTAAGAGAAATAAATCTGATGATGGTGTGTTGTGATGACGACTGGTCATAGCGATGATGACGTGTAATGTGATAATCATTGTGACAATGATGACAATATGTGATGATGACAACGATGGGTGACGATCAGGATGATAATGATAATTCAGTTTTAAGGTTTGATTTGGTCATTTACCTATTCGGCAGAAAACAATTCTAAACAATTTGATAACGAACCTTTTATTTCAAATCGCATTCAACAGAGGGTAGCATTCCACCTGAATGGAAATAACTGATACAAATAAGATGAAGATTATAAAATAGCAAAAGGATAAGTACCATATACAAGGTAAAATGATAATATTGGACTAGTATCAGTAAAAAATTTGGTCATTTATATTCTTTATTCGAAATTTGTAAATATTATACACCGTAATCTACTTACATTATCGAATATTCAATTTCTTATTCAAAATTTGTACATACTTTTTACTTAGTGTAATATTAATTCCACTCATTTTTTTAAAGTTATTTTTGTCATTATTTATTATTAATCCATATTTTTCTAAACATAAAATTTGTAAGTATTATTCTCTGTAAGCCCTGTAACGATTTTTTTACAACTGTTTCTTTTTCGTCGTTGTTTCCCGTTTCTTCTCTTTTTTTTTAATTATGCAATTTGTGAATCCCAAGAAATTCAGTTTATACTTTGATTTGTGGATATATTGGAAATAAAGAAATAAATTATAAAATATATTAATTGGTTCTATCATCTTGTATTATGATCTTAATAATCAATTAATTATATTGGTTACTGATATTCATAATATTCCAGCAATGCTAGCTTTAGCTTGTGTACTAAATATAGTGGAGTTTTATATGATACACAGTGCTGTATTGTATAATGTAATTAAATTCACCCATGAACCATGATGATCTTTGAACGAAGTGACTTGTTTACGTTTGGTTGTAATTACTGTATTTTTAAGTGGCCATTCTTTTTTGCTGTTAGTTTTATGTTTTTGAAATAAAATAAATAAATAAAAAATTCTGTGTACGTGCTTCTTTCACTCTTCCATTTATTTTATTTTCACAGCACGAGAGGGCGCTAGACAAGATGCCAGTCTGTGCCAGTCAATTCGAGTGGATGTCAGTTCGAGCGGAAGGCTTAGATCATTTGGCATGTGAATTTAACACGATAACGATATACAGGTGTTCCTTAGATTATATGTTTTATTATATGCAGATGACACGATTATTATGGCTGAAAGTCCAACAGAGTTACAGAAAGCATTACACGCTGTTAACAATTATTGTGACATGTGGCATCTCACAGTAAATACAAGTAAAACTAAAATTGTTATTTTTTCAAAAGGTAAAGTGAGAAACTTACCGGTTTCACGGCGTTTGGTGACGAACAAATTCACACTGTTGATGATTATGTTTCCTTGGCACAACATTTAATTATAATGGTAATTTCAATAAAGCCATAAATAAGCAAGTTTCTCAACCATGGTGGGGCTGAGAAATCAAGGCTTTGAAGTATATGAAGTTCATACTCAAAAACAATGTTTATAAGCTTTATTTTCTATGGTACATCACAGATATTAAAGATCTCTATGGTTGCTGAAAATCCCTGATCATGAGAAATTTGTTGGCGCTTCATTTTGAGTATATGCTATCAATGCCGTAGCCAGCTATTGGGACAGTTGGACAGTCGTCCCCCACAATTATTCTATTGGGTCCACAAAGAAGTGTACATTTTCAAAAATAGGTCTAAATTATGCTGTTTTAGCACAAAATGAGTCCTGATTTTGAAAAATGGGTCAAGATTTCTCATATTTTGCGTAAAATGGGCCAACTTTTAAGAAAATGGGTACACATTTTTCATATTTTTGCATAAAATGGGCCCACTTTTAAGAAAATGAGTCCATATATATTATTTGAATTTACGCGTAAAGTGGGTCCACACTGATATTTTCCCGCATTGTTTGAAAATCCTAGCTACAGCATTGTATGTAACGGTGATGTGATGATGATGTTTTTAGGATCTGGTTTTTACATGCCCATTTTTCGTGATTATGACTATTTTGGATAAAGAAGGTTTTGAGCAGTGGTGGATTCAAGCTGGTCTTCCCCTCCCCCTAAATTTTGCTCCAAATCCAAATTTGAAAGTGTAATTTCCGGTCATCTAGAGGTGCCCAAATCACCTCAGCCCAACCATGGTTGGGCTGAGGTGGGTGCTTACCCAATCTGTAAATCCCTCCCTGGAGTCACCTCTATTGAATTCCTGGATCCACCACTGTTGAGTTTTATATTATTGTTAGGCTTATTATTGCGTTTATTGCAATTTTCACTTTATCATTTCAGAACAGCCCTAAAAACGTTCAAATCACACTACTTTCCAGGGGACTTCGCCCCTGGACTCCCCAGGGGGTCCTACATACTTTGCATAACGGCTCCCCCTCCCCCCTTTAAAAATCCTTGCTACGTCTCTGGATGCATAACTCGCAAAATAAGTTGATTTTAGGTGATTTTGATCAATTGATTGAAAGCCTGAGCCCCGGCCGAATGCAAATTGTTAGCTCAAAATAGGAAATTTTAAAGTAATTCGTAGGCCTACATAACTCGCACAGGCTGTTGTTCGCACAAGTGAAATTTTTTCCGCTCGAACTAGCATTGCTCGAATAAATTCCGCTCGAAACCGCTCGAATCCGCTCGAACTGGCATTCCGCTCAAAGATACTAGAAACACAAGATAGAGTTCTCCACACAAAAATGTGTTCCACCGAAATGCATGGTGGGAATACAAACAATGGGACGCCCCTTGCGGCTAGATCTAAAAAAACTTCAACCAAACTTTCGTTACCAAGTCGTGGCGTATTTTATTGTCAATTCTCTGTTAAAAAAATTTACACAATTGTACAATTGTACCCAGACAGTGACAACGGTGAATACATAATTCCCTGGCAGAGGTAGAAATCGTTGCTATTATCCAAATAAAACACACAATTAAGCCTATGGATCAGTATAGAAAACAACAATATAGCGCAAAATCGACGCACCCTAGTGATAAAGTTTTCCACCATTAGTGGAAAAAGAAGGGCGCCGTGTGCGTCTGGATATACTTAACAACCGAAGGGCGCCCTGTACGTCGGGCACGAAGTATAGAAAATTTGCACGGTTAAAAAGAAGGGCGCCGCCTACGTCGGGCACGATTTCCGCCTCATTTTTCTATGCGAGTGCTTTATCTTGTGTTTGTAGTATCTTTGCTACCATGCACAAAACAGAAAAAGTAAGCAGAACTGCGCAATGTTGAAAAGTTGTATTTATAATTTAGTAACTTCACGTTTTCTTCAAAATCAAAATGCATTTCTATCAATAGGAGCGTTACATGTCCAGTTAAAACGTCAGTTGGCATCTAGGTAAATATCAGGTGTCTATGAGAGCAGGGACTAGCTGAACGAAGGCTAGCCTTGCTTCGTAAAGTAGGCCTAGGGTAGGGGGGGCCTAGGCCTATGCTACTACTAGGCCTACGTACGTAAGTGGCCTGGCCTTGCTGACTTTATCCTAGCTGAACGAAGTCACTGGTAGTGGTAAACAAAACAGCTTGCTATTATAATTGTTAACAAAAGAACCGGTTCTGATTTATACCGTTCAACATACAACAATTTGGAACAAAAATAACCTAGGTAGGGCCTACTAACCTAGGCCTAGAGCCTAGTAGGCCTAACTAAGTTAATCATATTCCTATTAATTATAAACTAATCGACTAATCGCCCTTTCTTCAGCTGATGTTTTTTCTCACTTCTGGGTGACCATATTAATCCATTTTTACTCTCACTCTGCAGACGCTATGACACGTGCGGGGGTTGTTGGTTTAGGCCCTATTCTAATACATATTTACAAAAATTACAATTCCGGTAAGTCTGCTATATTCTAACCGTACTGTAAAGTGTTTGATTTTTGCAGATGATGCCTCAAAAACAAGCTCAAATTTGCGTAGAAAATTGCGTGGAATTTAGGTGTCACATGGTGTGCAGAATTATAATTACTCATACTGCATTATATATTAATATTATGTCAAAACTTAATTTTCGGCAAAATCTGTGTGGATATCGGCCCATATTTTCGAAGATGTGCGGTCGGCTCTCTAGGTCAAATTTTTGCACAGAGTTTGGGTAGTCGTGCTTGACAACACAACTTCATTATTATTATTATTATTATTATTATTGTTATTATTTATTATTATTATTTGTCATATTATATGACATCTAGATGTGTATAAGAGACAGCTATGACACGTGCGGGGGTTGTTGGTTTAGGCCCTATTCTAATACATATTTACAAAAATTACAATTCCGGTAAGTCTGCTATATTCTAACCATACTGTAAAGTGTTTGATTTTTGCAGATGATGCCTCAAAAACAAGCTCAAATTTGCGTAGAAAATTGCGTGGAATTTAGATGTCACATGGTGTGCAGAATTATAATTACTCATACTGCATTATATATTAATATTATGTCAAAACTTAATTTTCGGCAAAATCTGTGTGGAAATCGGCCCATATTTTCGAAGATGTGCGGACGGCTCTCTAGGTCAAATTTTTGCACAGAGTTTGGGTAGTCGTGCTTGACAACACAACTTCATTATTATTATTATTATTGTTATTATTTATTATTATTTATTATTATTATTTGTCATATTATATGTACTAATTTATATATATATATATATATATATATATATATTAGATTTTTTTTTTTTTTATATAGAAAATTGCAGACAGTAGGGAAGCTTGAAAGTCCAAAACCTCAAGGAAAATATCCAACTGGACAGGTAATATAATTTGACAATATCCATTCTAACAAATTTCACTATATTCACCGATTTGTTGCTCACTAATTAAAAAATTGCTTTTTGAAATTAGTAATCAATATAGCATATTTGTTGTCTTATAAATATAGTACAAATGTCATATTCAGAGAGGCACTACCAATTCAAGACAAACAAGGAATACTTTCTGCCTGTTATAACTGTTGTAGAACATGATTGATTAAATTCATCTGTTTACTTGACTGTAGTTCGAATTTTTCTTTTTTCAGCTTTTTCTTCACAAGGTATTTGGTTACAGAGGTATTTTGTTATTCCCATGGCTTGCAAGACTTTATGATCGTGATGTAGCAAGTAAAAAAGATGAAAGGTTAGTTTATTTTAAATAATAGTTAACGTTTTAGCACTCCATGTGCTTGCTATGACTTGAAGGTTCAAATAAATTTATTGTCTCAATGTTGATTGCTTGTTTTGTGGAAGCAGTTTCCGTGGTGATTGCAATTTTCTATTTTTGAGTGGTGATTGATTCTGGACTGTTGCCACTTGCTTGTATCTGCGCAAGGCACTTCACCCACATACTCTCTCTCAGAGTATATATGGGTACATGGTGGGCTTGCTCTCCAAGGTCCTATTGACCTGCATACCCCAAGGATGTTCAATCATGTTGAACCATTAAACATATAGGAGGCTCTCCATCTGCCATAAATCCAAGAGCATCAGTTTACATATACAAATAACTAGAGTATTGCTACTTGTCAGCATTCGTTGCATGAAGCTATATAATGATTTTCGCATATACTCTTTAAAAGATGGCACACCATGTTCAACAAACATCATGCTAGCACTACAGTGCCTAGGAAGCTTAAGAATTCTACGTAATGCATTGTTATAAAATACATTGAGAGATCTAATATTTTTCTGCCAGTAATCACACCACAAGGTAGCGCAATACATATTGATGCAATATGAACAAAAAAGGCAAAACTTAACATCGACAGAACATTTCATGAATTTGCGATTTAGAGAGTTACTCCTAATACATAAAGACCTGTACTGCCTTTTAATTTTGCCTCATCACTTCTATTAGAGTTAAAATTGTGACCAAGATAAATTCCGCTTTCAACATACACAAGCTCATTGCCATATAGTTTAGTATCGAATTGCCTTCTAACTTATGTGTGGGTGGACAGAGTCATGTACAGAAAGACTTCTTATCATTAAGTAAAAAATCATACGCCAGGGTTGTTATTCAATGGTAAACAATAGTGCGCCCTCTCCCGGGGCACCGGAGTCTGCCATTGTTGGTCGATATTCACATGTGTTTGGTTCTTGCTGAATAAACGTTATAACTGTAGACTACCGTGTGTGTAATTTCATTTAAGTCGAATCTAGCCTACTGGCGATAACCATTAGCAAATGCTTCACAAGTATAAACTAGTTGCTGGAGTCCAGCAACAGAGGGAGCAAGCAAAACAAGATCATCTGCATAACTGAGGTGATTAATTTTTACATTTCCACGTTCGCAACCATGATTCAATGTACTTAAACTTTAATTAAGGTTATTGTTTATAGAAGAGGGGACATCACCCCACCTTGTTGAACACCATTCATGACTTTAAAAGGTACAGAATGAGAATTACCCCAACGAACCATAAACCTTTGTTTATCATACCACGATTTCAGTAGTTTGACAACATTAATATTAGTACCTATTTCAATAAGTAGTTTACAGTATATAGAGGCCAATGATTCACACGATCAAATGCCTTACTAGCATCAAGAAAACAGGCAAAAACCGGACTACCGTTCCTATTATAGTAGTAGTCAATAACCTGTTTTAGGACAAATATACATGATAGTCCCCCCTCCAAAAGGGCGACCGACAAGAAGTCCGTCAGAACTGCAAACCGATGAAACACTAATACAATCAAAATCAACATGAAATGGCTTAAGTATAAACAATTTGTCGTTAGTGAGCCAATGCTCCTGCAGAGCTATAATATTATTATTGCACATATCATAGACCTCTCTTTGACAAGATTTAAATGATTTACAGTTATAGCTAACACACCTCAACCTGGACAAATGTTGAGGTGTAAAAGGTGTTGAGGTATAAAATTACTGTTGTCATTTAATATCCTGTTGCTTTAAAGTGACTAATTTTAAAGAACATATATTTCTTGTCATGCAGTCCACAGATTGAGAATGATGGGGAGCACATCCATGCAGGTAACAAGGAGGTTCAGGGCAAGACGCATACTTACTACCAAGTACTGATTGACTCCAGAGATTGTCCATTCATTGTAAGTATATCAGTATTTTGAAATAGGTTTCCAGTGCTTCTGGTGATAGCTAAAATTAATAGAATGTCTCTTTGTTTTGTTGTTAACTAGAAATTGATTGTATAAACCTTGTAATGGCTGACTTGCTAGTTCTTGGCAGGACGAACCCATATAAACTTATGTATGGATTACCTTTTTTTTAGAGAGCTCAAACAGAGGCAGTAACATTTTTAGGAAATCAAGAAAACAACAGATCTTTGTATGCTATCCCAGGTATACCAACACTTTTCTTTGTACAGTATAACTCTTTGTACACTATCTCAGGTTTATGAACACTTTTCTTTGCCAGTATAAAGCTGATGGTGGTAATGAAGTTGATGAAAATGATGACAAGAATGATGTGAATTGACAAATTTAACGTTCAGAATTTAAGAAGATATTGTAAGACTATTAAATTCTTTTTTCTTTAATAGGATTAGACTATGTTGCACATGAAGATATTCTACCATACTCATCAGCAGATAAAACACCTGTGCAACATGAACTGTTTGATAAATTTCTAGAATTAAAACAAGGACAAGGTAAGAGTCACTCAGTTGATTCAATTATTGTGTTGACGGTGGTAGCAGTTGTCGGTGGCAGAGATAATAAAAATGAAGACCATGACAAAGATGATGGTGATTTGTGATGTTACAGATATTGGTACTTATGTTAATAATGGTGGGGATGATAATGATGATGATGGTATTAGGAACTAACATACCAAACATTTTTATGCTGACAGCAATATCTTTTTTTTCATATTATTTACAGAACCACCGTTTGTCCCAAAGGATACATTAAAAGCATGGCAAGAAAAGAACCATCCGTGGTTGGAATTGTCTGATGTTCACCGTGAGACTACGGAGAATGTGCGTGTGACTGTCATACCATTTTACATGGGCACACGTGTAAGAAAAATCTCTTATTCCTGCATTTCACCTATAAATGGCAACTTTTAATTTTCTCTATATTTGGAAATTTCGAAATTTAAATTTTACTACCAGTAGCATTTTGGTGATAGGTTGGTGATATGAATTGGTGATATCACTTGATGATAGGTATGTGATCAGACCTTGGGATATGTTGGCGATGTATTAGTAACTTTTCTTATATGATGTATTTATGATATGATGTACGGAATGGCAAAAGAAATTGTAGTGGTTAGATTGTAATAGTTTGTTTTTGTCAATAGTTGCTACTTCATGACCCAACAAGGTTTAAAATTTATACTACAATTTTTTTATTTACGAAGGTTTCAGAGGATTCAAGCGTATACTGGGTAAGTAAATAGCTGATACACCATCTCTGAACTGATGATAAATTTATTCAATTAACAAAACATCGTAATAAATCTAAAGGAATTTCAAAGTTGTACTTACACCATTCACAATCCAAGAAGATATGAGAGGGTTTGTGGTGTTAGTTTTTCTGGTTACAGGATCTACATTTTATAAGATATATGTATATGAAAGCTTCGCACCTTGGAATATGGGGTTGTCGCAGTGCTTTGTGCACAAACCAATGCATTCAATTTGACAACATTCCAATTGATGTCCATTAAATATTTGTATTAAATAATTGTTGACTTCTTTACAGTGGAGATATTGCATTCGTCTGGAGAACCTAGGTACAGAAACTGTTCAGTTGCGAGAACGACATTGGAGGATATTCAGCTTATCGGGGACGCTGGAAACTGTGAGAGGCCGGGGAGTTGTGGGCCAGGTAAGGGGGCTAGCATTTGTCTTGAGTATACTTCAGAATTTTGTTGGAAGCACTAAAAACAGTAACAAAAATAAAATGGAGGTGTACGCTTTCAATTATATTATTCATTGTCTCATCCATCTAATGTTTCAATTGTAACTGCGCCACTGGAGTCACTGCACACTAACAATGCTTACATTTTTTCTTCATTTGACACTGTTGACCATAATGCCATTGAGAAGTTAATTTTGTCCTCGTCATCGGCTACTTGTTCATTAGATCCCATCCCTACCAAAATTCTTAAATCTTGCAGAGCCAGTATTGCTCCAGCCATTGCTTCTTTAATCAATAAATCTCTTGAAACCGGCTCTTTTCCGGATAATCTTAAAAGTGCTGTAGTCACCCCTATTTTGAAGAAACCGTCTCTTGATCCCCAACAATTCCAGCATTTCATATCTTACTCAATTTAATTTGTTTGACCCCTTTCAATCGGCATATAAGACTGGTCATAGTACTGAAACTGCCCTTGCTAAAATACACAATGACATTACTGTTGCTCTAGATAAGAAACGGGTCGTTGCCCTTATACTCTTGGAACTTTCAGCGGCTTTCGACACTGTTGATCACAATATCCTACTTCACAGATTATCCTCACAGTTCTTCATTTCTGGTACGGCTCTAAACTGGTTTGCATCATATCTAATTAACCGAACTCAATCTGTAGAAATAAACAAAATTAGATCTGATCCCCAAATTATTGAATATGGAGTTCCACAAGGCTCAA